GGGTTTCGGGCTTAGGGGTTTCGGGGTTCGGGTTTAGGGTTGAGGGGTTCAGGGATTGGGTTTCGGGTTCTTTTGAAGGGCTTTAGGCTTGGGGCTGAGGGTTTAGGGTTTAGGCATTGGGTTTAGGGGTTTAGGGATTGGGTTCAGGGGTCTAGGGATTTGGGTTTCGGGTTTCGGGCTTAGGGGTTTAGGGGTTCAGGGTTTAGGGTTTAGGGGTTCGGGGATTGGGTTTCGGGTTCTTTTGAAGGGCTTTAGGCTTAGGGCTTAGGGTGTAGGGATTGGGTTTAGGGGTTTAGGGATTGGGTTTAGGGGTTTAGGGTTTAGGGTTTAGGGTTTAGGGATTGGGCTGAGGGGTTTAGGGGTTGAGGGGTTGAGGGGTTTAGGGGATTGGGTTTAGGGGTTTAGGGGTCTAGGGGTTCAGGGTTTTGGGTTTGGCAGTTTAGGAGGGGTTTAGGGTTTAGGAGGGGTTTAGGGTTTAGGGTTTTGAGGTTTAGGGTTTAGGGTTTGAAGGAGCTCCGTTTTCAGGGTTTTAGGGTTCTTTTTAAAAGGATTCTCGTTGCTTTCGGGCTTCGGGCTTGGGTTTGAGGGCTCCGCTTAGGTTTCTTTTGATGGGTTTAGGGGTACAGGGTGTGGGGTTTAGGGGTTCGGTTTCGGGTTCTTTGAAGGGCTCCGTTTTCAGGGTTTCAGGGTTCTTTATAACGGTTCTCTTTACGGCTTTAGGCTTTAGGGCTTAGGGCTTTGGGTTTAGAGTTTTGGAGTTCTCTTGTTTCTCTAGTTTCGGCTCTTTTTTTTTTTAATGGCTCAGGGCTCAGGATTAATTAAGGGCTGCTTTGGTTTCCAGAGCCTGGCAAAACTCGAAACGCGAAAGCTAAGCCCCAAAGCTTCGACACCCCAACAAACCCTACTAAGCTAAGCCTAAACCTTAAAGCCCTAAAGCCCTAAATCCCTAAAGCCCTAAACCCCCAAAGCGCTAAACCGTGAGACCCAGGACCCTCAACCCTGAACCCTAAAGCCCTAAACCCTAAACCCGAAACTGGGAGACCCTGAACCCAAGACCCTTGTCACGACCCTCAACCCCACGATTGCAGACAAAAAGTTACCCATACCTTAAACCCTAAACCCTAAACCCTGAACCTTAAACCCTACACCCTAAACCCTAAACCTTAAACCTCAAATCTGATATCCTTTCGGGGTTCCCATCTGCAGGTTCTCCACGCTCACCTGTACCGCGCAACCCCTGTTCTACTTGTTAAGGCCCCGGAAGTGGAAAAGGAGCCCTGCTCTGACCTTTAGGGCCCCTAGGCCATACCCTTTTAGTACATGTGCGTAGCCCTTAGACCGCTTTTAAAGGAACCATGAAAGGAACCCTAGTGTAGCTGTAAGATCCTGAACCCTCAATCCCTAAACCCCAAACCCTAAACCACTAAACCCTAAACCCTAAGCCTCTAAGCCCCGAAGCCCCTAAACCCCAAACCCTAAACCCCAGACCCCAAACCCGAAGCCCCTAAGCCCCTAAACCCTAAGCCCCTAAACCCCAAACCCTAAACCCCAAACCCTAAACCCTAAAACCCTAAACCCTACACCCGAAACCCAAAGCCCCTAAGCGCCTAAGCCCCTAAGCCCTAGGCCCCCTCGCAAGGCCGAGGGCGCCGAGGAGCCTGCAATGTGTGAGCTGGACTCCGTAGAGCCGGCCTTGAGTGAAGGCCGACGTTGAGGGTTTGAGGGTTTAGGGTTTAGGGTTTAGGGTTTAGGATTTAGGGGTTTGAGGGTTTGAGGGTT